TTCCAATGTCTTCACGTTTTATTAAATTACTCAACAATGAGCTAATTATATTACACAAAAATATGAAAAAGTTACGCATTTTTTGTTTAATTAAACAAAATCGAAAATTATACTGAAAATTTGTCGAAGCTCAAGGTTTGCTACATAACGATTTAAGCAACGCTTGTCCGCACCTGATTATGCAATAAAATAAGAACAAAGTTACTTAATTTTCGAGTTATTAAAGAATATCGAAAAATGTACAGCGATTTTAACAAAAATTCGTAAAAATTTTGCGAAAAATTTGAATTCCAGTATCTGCAACCAAACATACATACATATATATTCGGTTGCGTATAATATGCAAATTATGAAAAACTAAGCAAAAGTTTCAAAATAGCAATAACTTTAGATTTTCTATATAGCTAATTACGCAACCCTTGACCTCACCTAAATATGGAATAACTTAGGAATTAAGTTACAAATTATTCATTATTAAAGAAAACCATTTTTTTATTTTACCAAAAATTCGCAAACATTTTCAGAATCAATCAAAATCCAAATAATGATGCTACAGTGACTTCAGTGGGATCATTTGAAAGATAACAGTCTTCAGTTTACGATTATTGTTGAATTATGTAATTATCCTGCGTGGTTGTCCTGAAATTAAAGAAAATGTGACAATGTAGCGCTTTCACTTCGACAGATTTGGCAGCTTGTAGCACGAAGTAGATTGCGTTAATTAAACTTGAGTAAATCACAAATTTCTATTTATTTGCTTTATTGAAATAATAAAATTACAAATAGACAAAATATAAAGAAAATTTCACAAAGAAATGTACAAATTTAAAAGAAACTAAAATTATTTCTCAAAATATTTAGTTTTCAAAAATTGTATAATTGGAATAAAGTTAATATATTGAATGAAATAGTTAGTGTTCTCAACTATTATATTAGATGTACATCGTTATTACTGTTCTGGATTTATGGAAGTTCTGGTTTTATGTGGATGATAGCATTAAATGCGATTTACACCCGATGGGATCAGGTCAATTAAGTTTGGTCGTAGAAATATCGATCGGCGCAAGGTGTTGTAGGTATCATGAGACTTTCAATTTGGATGTTCCCTACGGAAAACGTTCTTCGAGGGTTGAGGGGGTGCAGAGGATGAGCATAATCCGAGTTTAATAAAGCGCTCAACGCTGAGATTACACGGGGAGTGACGCTCCAGAGGAAGCAGTTTCCATTCTGTCCGGGGGATCATCAAAGACGTAAGAGAAGAGTGCGGATTAGGGATTCGCACACAGCAGCACTCTTGCGGATTTTTTACACCTTTCCGCGATTAGGGACGGCCGCAAACCAGGCGGAACGCAGCCGCTTAAGGCAATTTGCGAGAGCCCATTAACATTCCCAGCAAGCACTCTTCCACCTGCACCGAAAAGCAAACCAACTAAAAAAATATATATAGAGAGAGATAAATATAGAGAACCGGAGTGGCGAGGATGAGCAAGCGAAGCGTATTCTGCGAACGCTCGACGAAGTTCAAATAGATTACTATTAAAATAATTTCGAGGAGTGGAAGAGGTCGGAGGTGACGGTGGATTCGCCCACCGGCGTTTACAGATTATCGAACCCACCTCATGCGTCCGAAGCTTTGGCAACAATTAATCCCATTGTTGCGGAGGGCAGTTGTCGGGTTTTCAAAGTTGCGTCCAACAAATGGCATTATTAGCGGCAATAAATTATCATGTCCACCCTCCTTCCCCGCACGACTATTTCCATCATTGCTTTGAATTATATTTGCAGACTCGACGATAAATCACACCGCAATAACGGGATACAAACAATGGGAGAAGAGAGAAAGAGAGTAAAACAAGAAGCTGTATTGATCAGCTTCCAATCAACGCCAATGTTTTAATCTGTCGTGTTTCTTTGTTGCGTTGCAGGAGAAGTCGAAGAGCAGTCAGGAGCCAAAGAATCATCTGGTTACCGGGTTCAGACAGCAGCAGAACAAGAAAAGCGCCGTTGAGGATATTTACAGGAAGGGTAAGGACTTGAGCGCTTAATTGCTAATTAAATGAGCCGCCGATTGTGAAATTTCTCATTAGCGGCAATTAATTATTCCCTTCTCGCGCAATCTTCGCACTCCACCCCATTTCTGTTTGAGAAATCTGATACCTCTCAACTCGTTCAAATTTTGTCTATTAAAACATTCCGCAATAAATTAAATTCACTAAAACTTTGATTTACAAAAATCTTCATTAATAAAGTTTTTCTGTGAAAAACAACTAAAAATACTTTTCAATTCTTCAAATAATAATTATGTAAGTGTAGATTTAACTAAAATTTACTTTTTCTTCAACTTGATGATCATAAGTTAACATAAAATAATAATAAAAAGATTTCTTCTTATATAAACTAAAACATGAAATTGTAGCGGCAGATTTTTGCAGCACTCAAGAGTTACATTTGGAAATGCTTTTGTGACACGCTGTATATGCATTTAAATTGGCAGGACGACGGTGTAAAGGAAAAATGATGCGTGAATGTGGGGTGTCATATACGTTCACGTTATTTCTCTTCTATTTTTATTTTTCCTGTTCACGCTCTCATCTCTTTTTGCTGGCTGTCGCTGCAATGGTGATCGATCATAAGTAGATGTGACACTGCGGCCCGATTTACATGCCATCCCCGTGTCATCGCTGCACGTGTAGGAATCTAATTTAGTGAGAGACAAACGGGGGATGGGAAAAACAGGAGTTCCGCGTTGGATGAAAACGTCCGACAATATTGCTGCAGCCTCCTCCGATCCTCCACCAACGCATTTGGGACTTTAGAACTTTATGCCCAAACATATACAATTTAACCGCAAACCAACAATTAAATTGCAAACCCGAGCTCTTCCTTTATAAGCTAAAAGATAAACATGTAGTCCATGTCATATTGGATGAAAATTTATTAATTTCACTCTATTTATTATAATTTTACCCATGAATACGTAAAGAAAACGTTATGCAACGATTGCTCCCTTTTCTCCACGCACCTTATGAAATGATCATTAATTTTACAGTAATTTCTTATCTTTTTCTTTATTGGTAACGAATTACAGCGATAATTTCATTGATTCTAAATCTCAATTAAGGATTTTGATCATTCCAGGTAATGATTCTTCATATGAGTGTAATCTGCATGGACATACATGCATTTCGAAGGATTAACTCTTTAAGCGTTCTCTTTTCTTATTATTTTATATCTTTTTAGAGACAACAACTGTGGTAATTGTTTCATTTCTTTGCTAGTTCGTACATGGCTTTTTAATTTATTCCTTCTTCCTGTGTGTATGTTGCATCATGCATAGTTTTGCCGTCGGCGGAATTTTTAATATTACAGCGGTTCCGGCATTATATTTTTGTTTTGTTTTTTGTTTGTTTCTTGTTATTCCGTGACGCGAACGGCCGTAAAAGGATTTATGAGGGATGCAAAACAAACGCAAAACCACCCCCCAGGTCCGGGCTGAGGGGCGGCGCTGACGGGCAGATTTAATATCTGCATACAACCAGAAAAAAACGTAAATGAGAGAAGAAGAAAAAAATATGGGCACAGCTCGCAATAGCAGCAACAGTAGAATGATGAAAAGATGAGAGAATTACAGAGCTAAAAAAAAAGAATGATAATAGACTGTATTCGCTGTTCCTCGTTGCATTTTTCACCTTTATTTTTTTATGTTTAACCCAATTAGGTGAGCTTACAAACGTATAATTTACCTTAGGTGTGGAAATTATTCCGTCCGAATTATTTCATGCAAAAGATGCGAAGATGAATGTAAAAGGGTTTTTTTTTACGTGAAACGTTAGTTTCGTGCGAATGAAACTACTATTTATATGTTTTCAAGTGGAATACGTAATCGCCTCACGTTTTACTTATGTAATTTTAATACGGCCTTCCGTATTTCCATTAGTAATAACTAGACACAATTATTTTCTCATTATTTAGAAATACGGTATAACACAAAAAGTGGACTGATCATTAGATTTTCTGTAAAATATTCATAATATTTTAATATTTAATGATTACTTTTGAAATCAATAATGAGAAAACTATTTTAGTAGAAATTTAGTGTTTCGTCGTTGTAAATAACTAATTAATTTGTAAAGTTTCAGAAGTTCCGGAAGAACCGAAGATTGGTTCGGTGGCGGCGGCTGTTCAGAAGCAGGAAGCAACGGACTACGACGAGTTGCTTGAGCGTTTGAAGGTGGCAGATTTCCTATACACTGAGTACTCTTTAGAGGAAGTGATCTATCAATTGGCGAAGGTGATGTTCACGCAGAGCTTGACGAGGGGCAGCGCCGAAGCGCAGCAGGCTTTGCAGAAGTTCACGGCTTTCTTAGAAACGGAGGCGGATCAAGGCCACATCTCTAGAGCCCTCGAGAAGAAGGTCCTCGACGTTCTCATCGCCTCCTTGAGCGACACCTTGAACGAGCATCCCGAGTTGGCTGCCAACAACGGAGAAGTCAACAGCTACGGTCACGACGGCCAGACCATCCTTCGTCAAATATTGCAGATGAATGCAGGAGAGAAAACCGGCGTAGTCCCAGCTTCCTACAAGGACCAAATCAGTCGGAACCCTCTGGAGTTCCATCTGCAGGATAAGCCGCATCTACCGATCGGGCTCGGCAAATACAAAACAATACGCTAAACCTGGAGATAAAGCAGATAAAGTAAACTAAATTAAATTTAATCTAACCCTTCTATCAAACTAATCTCTCCTGCATTCAAAATATATATAAATATACCAAGATCTTGTTTTATTCTAGTTAACCGGTTTTCTCTTTTTCTGTTTGCGAGATACGAAATGGAAATCTACTTATTTATATATATATACAATGATTTAATGTTTGCGAGGATTTACGAAGGAATAAAAATGGAAAAAAAAGTCTGGTGTAGAATAAAAGTAAGATCTCTGAAACAAATATACATATATACATGATGAATAAGAAAAAAAAATTATATATATATATAGAGATAATTGATGTTAATATATTATTATATGAAATATACGTAAAAAATCATTTGAACCTCGCGTTTTATTTGTTTATAACTAACTCTGATTCAACAGCATATTCATTAGACACCTTCATTCGAAGTGAATAGCAGCGACGCACGTTGTACTTTCCGTCGAGCGTAATTACATTTGTTCGCGACGAGTTTAAACAATGATCCCACGGATCTCGTCCGGATCCATTTGAAAGTTTAACAACTATTTCTAAAGGGTTAAACGCTGAAAAGAAATTGGGTCGTCGTCGCATGAAAGAACCTTTCCCAAGAAACTCGTGGAGCATTGCATTCCCATTAATTGCATACCATTATTACTGTTTGTTTCTGTTTCCTAACCATTGTGCGTCGCTAAAACCCTTCGGTTTGGAGCGCGCATTGAAATTCCCTTCCGGAACGGGATTTTCCATACAAAGACGAAATGCGAATGGGAACTTCATAATTGAGTGGATACATTGAACGGAATTAGTAAACGCAATCTATATACACACACAGTCACAAGAATAATTAAAAAGGTAAGCGTTTATATTTCGTTTTCTATTAATAATCATATAATCTCATTAGATTTACAATGAAAATGTTATAAAAATAATGATAAAATCGAAATGAATATTTTGTTGGTATCACGCAGACATATCCACAACTACAGGTAAATCCTCCTCGTCCTCTTCGTCCAGATGTGTGAAATCCCATAAATAGGCTTCGGTAAGCTGATCCCTGAATCGTTCGATTTTCGTTTTCAATATACCGTCGACGCTGCTTTCCATTACTGCCCTGAATAGGTTTCGCAGCTTCACGTAAACGAAATTGTTGTTGGCCACGATATCGGCGAGGAACTCTTCGGGGATTTCCCTGACCTGCTCCTCCAGAAGAGTGATGAAATCGTCGTAAATCGCGCGGTACTTCTTTATCGCCGTTTCGCAGGAGCACAGCAGGACGACCAGCTTCTTCCAATGCTCGAACGCTTCAAGACTGTGACCCACCAGGAAGCAGATGTATGCAAACTCCAGTTCACCAATGATATCAATTGGACTAAAATAAACAGAATCAATATAATCAATACTATAAACTTAGCAATATTATACTCACTTTGTGTAATTTTTTAAAAAAACTTCTAAAACGTATGTGTTGTCCAAATGGTGTTTAGTTATTTCAGCAGCTGTAGAACCCTCAGGGTAGTTCCTCTCTGGAAATGTATTTAGCCTTAGGGCTGTGCCCTCAATGGCTTTTAAATCTGGTAAAAGATCATTCTCAGGATTGTAACTGAAGCTAGGTCTTAGTTTCCTTGTTGCTTGAGGTGCAACCCCATCAACTGTTTTCCCAGCCCTAGGTCTATCCTCATCCTTGCATGACATCAACTCCAAAGCAGATCTCACATACCCAGAAGATGATGACAAATTCTTAATCAAAGTCTCTAAAATTATTACAAGTTAATTAATTAAGCAAACTAAGAATTCAAATTATTTACCTGTTAAATGAGTTGATAGGTTGTTCCATTTCTCTGAGATATCAAATGGATATGGTCCCAAGAACTTGTCAAGTGCTAAAATATTGTCCCTCAATTGCAGCACCTCACTTTCACTCACCTCCTCCGAGCTTATGTCCTCCTTCTCTTTATCCCATTTCTTCACAAGCAGCTCAGATTTGCGAAAGTTGTGGAAGAAACCAACTCTGGGACTGATTTCCCCATAGGAACCAACAGCACTGTAAAAGATGTAGTGGATTCCAGGTGGAATCATTTTGATACCTCTGAACCTTTCACCTGTGTTCCAAGATTTCATGTCGATGCCAAATTCTGTACCCTCTGGCACCCCCAGCATCACAAAAGTGCCACCATCCGCAAATAAACGTTTTGCAGTGTCTTGATCCATTTCTCACAATTATTTATTTAATACAAAGACCAAATTAGTTATAGATACAATATGTTCACATATACAAAGAATGTCTTCACTTGTACATCAATATACTATTATTTAACTAATGGATATCAACAAAAACGATTTGTATCAATATACAAGATTAATTGTAGGTTAACTATTTTGCGTATATTTAGTTGCATATATACTTAAAAGTTTGAATTAAATTCAAAAGTTGTTTTATTACTAATAATCACACTTAATTTATTATTGATAATATAATGTTGAATATTTCTATTGGATAATTGATTTTCTCAATTAAACAAATTGGAAGAACACATTAAGAAATAACTTCCTCAAAAGGCCGTTGTCTTCTACAACAATCTTTGTACTTTAGCATAAATAATGATTCTATTTTTATTTTCCAATAAGATAATTTATTGATTGGACTAAGGACAGATGTATTTATAAAGAAAAACTAAAAGCATGTAGCTGACGTTTTATTTGTTAAAAATGGAACATTGCGTATTTGAAAATATAAACAAGTTCAAAATGCATGTACATAACAGAATATAAAGTGATTATTGAAAATTCAATGAGGAATTTTATTACATCCAAAAGTTTTACATTTATAGCGCAATGGACACTATGTTTAGTGCGAGTTTGGTTTGTTTTTCTTTGTTTCTCGTTTTATAATAATACTACATGTCTGTAAGAATAAATAAATACAGTAACATTAATTAAAGAGGCGTATTGTACTAATTACCTATTAATATAATTGGAATTACATAAACTTTGAAGTTACAAAGTAGAAGAAAATCATAAATCTATATATTAAAAAAAAGATAGAGAAAAAAAAAGTAAAGAAAATCATATCCGAAACGAATTTTTTCTTGATTTTTTTTTTTGGAAAATACCGCTCCTTTATATTCCCTTCCATTTTGTTTACAAATTCTCGGTTTAATGTTATGTTGCATTATTGTTAATAATAGTTTCTGTGTAGTTTTTGTTTTTTTTTTCTTCTTTAACGATCTCAGTGAGTTGCGCATTGCACTCTCTGGCCCACGCCGGGTCCTTCGTTGTCCTCTTCGTAAGCGTGCATGTTGTCGTGCCTTCTCCTCGCCTCCTGCTCGGTGTCGAAGTTCTCCAGGAAGCACTCCTCCGCCTGATCGGGGATCATAATCTCAGGCCTAGGTGGTAGGCACTGCTCTAAAGCAGGGATCTTGGCAGGATCGATGCTGGTCGGGAATTCGACCAGGAACTGGACGATCATGCGTCCTTTCTGGAAGGGATCCTTGTACGTGGGCATACCTTCGTTCAAGATGCACTTGACGTCACCGTGCTTGGTGACCTCTCCGGGAATGCAAGTGATGACTAAATCGCGACCATCCAGTGTGTTGATGAGTCGCTGGTAGCCGCAGAGAGCTTCAGCCAGATGCAGATCCAAGCGGATGATCAGATCGCTGCCGGAACGTTTGTACAAGGGATGCGCCTTCTCGTCCAACACAATAATAATGTCTCCAGCCTCATGTTCCGGTTCCTGGTCGCCTTCGCCGTTAAAAATAATCCTTTGTCCGTCCGTCATGCCCTTGTCGACATGAACCTCTAAGATCTTCCTATCCCGAACTACCTTCTTGCCATTGCAGTTCTTGCAGCGGTCCTTCGGATTAATCCTCTCGCCGTGCCCTTGGCAATCGCTGCACATCGACTGAATTTGCTGAATCATGCCTACAACGGAAAATAAAAACAAATCAATTAAACTGTTCAACAGCTATATTCCATCTGACGTTTACAATCAATATTTCGATCTTCAACAAAGCAAATATTGTGAGCGACATCGAAATAGATCAAATTGGGTCGTATTTTATACAGAGTAGGTTAGTAAGTGTAATTATATTAATTGAACGCTATTATTACAATTTGATAACTTTCCTGCGGTCCACTTTCGAAAAACCGACAAAACAGGAAACAATTAATATTCTCTAAAATATTATGAAAATAGTTATGAAAAGTTTACCTGGGCCAAGTTGTTGGACTTGCACTTGCAGACCGCTTCCTCCGCACGTGGGGCACGACTCGACGGCGCCTTTCTTGCCGCCGCGGCCTTCACATTTATCACAGATAACATTCTTTTGTAGCGCCAACTTCCTCACCGCACCCTTGTACAGTTCCTCAAGGGTTACGCTGAGTTGGTGGACTACATCCTTGCCCCTCTTCTCCCTTCTGCCACGGCCGCGGCCGCCACCAAAACCACCACCTCCGTTAAAGAACATATCGAAGAGGTCCATGGGACTCGAGAAACCACCGCCGCCGCCACCTAAAAGAAACATAGAAAGTTAAAAACATATAAACACAATAATTAACCAAAAGATTGATTTGTAAGATTCAGTCTCTTCAGTTTTAATATATAAACATGAGAAATATAAATGTGAATCATTATATAATTAAATATTTAAAAAAATGTCAATTGACATGAGATATGATTTACAATTAACTTAATCTTGTAATGGCTGAGTTATCAATTAACTGATATAGATGAAAAAAAAAACTTGGTACATAAAAATGCAAATGAAAGAAACCTTGATCAGGTTTTCTGTATGTTAAGTACACAAGGTAAATTGTAATGCAAAGTAATTGAAATTGATGAGAAGCCATTTTGAGTTTTTTTTTTCTTTCAAAGTATGATGTTATTCTAGAATTTACAACATGACAACTCACCTCCTTCCTTGAGAGCCTGCTCTCCACCTTGGTCATAGATTCTCTTCTTCTCAGGATCAGAGAGAACCTCATAGGCCTGAGAAATCTGCTTGAACTTCTCACCCTCATTTGGGTTCTTATCTGGATGATATTTCAAAGCCAATTTCCTGTACGCCTTCTTCAGCTCATCAGGGGAAGCACCTGGCTTCACACCAAGGATATCATAGAACTTGGTTTCCTTCACCATTTTGAGACCTGCAGGATGCAATCAGAGATGATGAGTTAAGCAGGGAGTGGACATCAATAATACAAAAAAAAGTTGTTAATAGAGAGTAATGATCAATCCCCAAAAATTGATTTTGAATCATGCATGGTCATGCAATCAATAATGCACATCTGGAAACTGAGAATATGAAGAATGGAAACTCGGTGTGGCCCCCTGTCACAACGGTAAAGCCGTTGAAAGGGGTTGAGGTTGGCAGGAGCAGAAAAAAAAATCCAATTGATTTTCTTTGACAAACGTGTGAAAGAATGTTTTGCGGAATCAGAAAATATACGATTACATACGTTTGCGGTATTATTCACAGAGAACACAGGCAGTCGGCTTTGCAGAATTGATTTGTAGTGGTCGGAGAAATGCCTCGTGTTCGGAGTCTAGAACAATTCTTTGTAGTAGCTGCTGCAAGTCGATGCAAAATGTTGCCTCGTTTCCAGAACGTTCCAAACCAGTCAGTTGGTGCGAGGTTGCCAAAGCAAATATGCCAGAAGGTTTTATCGAATTTTTGCTTATCACTGTTCCAGAAAATCTTGCTATGATCTAGAACGATTTGAAAGGTGATAAACTTCAAATTAATGATGTTTATATAATGTTTTTCATAGATTTCTCCTTACGGTGCACTTGATGAGCTGAGGTATATTTGGCAATGTTGATGCTATGTTGGTTGTGGCAACTGATCATGAGGTTATGCAATTGTTGTATCAGCTAATTAATTAGTTCCAAGAGAAGTTTGATAGAGTATTTGGAGTTTATTTGATATCAATTTTTTATATTATTATTTTCAGGTGAGATAACGTAGGTAGTAGTTGATGTAGTCGTGAGGTAGATGGCGGTGGTCCGAAGGTAGATTCCTGTTAGAACCATGATGGCGCGTTGCATCATGGGAATATGAAAGCAGCCAGCCAAGCACCGCAAAGGTTTCTGGGACGGCGGAGTAGGAAACCATATTTTTCAGTGTGCAACCACTTATAAGACTGTGGTGAGTGCAGTGCGAGTGAACACAATAATAATAAAGTACCGAAGGCGATGGTGTCGTCCGAGGAAGGGATTTGTTAGTCTGAAAGGGACCAAGAGGAAAGAGTGACGCGCCAATTGGACTGTGTTTTGTTTTCCCGATACATTACATTACATCTACGCACACCGTACACAAGATTAAGTGGGCCCCGGATAGGAAGGATCTGGAAAAGGAGTATCAGTATATAACGCGACGCACGGCGACCAACAACTTGCTGGCAGGTGTTAGAGTTAGAGTTTTTTTTTCCTCCCCGGTGCTTTAATAATAGACCAGATTCCGAGGCCTTAAGGAAGGAGTCTCAGCAGAGCAGAGCAGTAGTCTTCTTGGAGAAGAGGAGCTCTCCCTGCGCCTCCGAAAATCCGCGTTTACATAACACACACGCACATACATACACACAAACACGAATACAGAAACACAGAGATAGAGAGAGAGAGAAGAGACAGAGGACTTGGGTAAAAGTGATTGTGATGGTAATTATCGATAATCGTAATATCCCAGGAGAAATTACACCGACATGCAGGTTAGTTTTATTTATTTACCATTCGGCTTGCGTACACTTGTTTACGGCGCTCGCTTTAAATTTTATGGCCGAGCAGTAAAATATCCAAGATTCCGAAGACCACTTTCGCTGTCACCGAAGCACACTTTATCTAAAACCCGAAAAGTCAAGAGGCAACCACCCCCCCAATTAAATCATGATTACACATTCACCTTGACAGCCGTAAAACGAAACTTTGGAAACTTTTTAATTGACTGCCTTGTTCTCTGCGTAACCCACTCTCAACCAATTTCAACTTTACACTGATTCTTCGTGCCCCAATTCCGAGTTGATTTAATTGCAAATATCCTCGTTTTACAGCCTGTCCATTCATGGGCATTTAACGATTTTCAACACTCCGAAGTATGCTAGTATCGGCGATGATGATGATGATGATGATGAGAAATGCTTTCTGCCTTTTAAAAGCATCCAATTACTATGCAAAACCAATTTCGAAGTTTACTAATTGAAGATCGTAAATGGTTTTAATCAGATTTTGCTTCTACAACAAGAAAAGCGCGAAACAAGTCACTTTCTCAATTGAAGTTTATGTAGGCTGAACATTGCATAACCTGCACCTCTTAATATCGTGTATACAAATAATTTAATTTAAATTGAAAACACACAACATAAATCCAATTTACACAAACTAAAAATAAAATCATTATTAATATGTATGTATGTTTCAGAAGCTTATGGTATTTAAATTGATGGATATATTAAGAATGAGCAAATTTGAATTGTAAAGCCGAATCTTGGGAGTTGATGAAGATTTGTTAGGAGGACGGAGCCTTGAAGATGATATAACATGTTCTATTCTTCAGGTCTGTTTGATTATTATTATTTGTTATATATATATAGAAAATTGTGTTGATCGAACGAACTTTGATTGATGTTGAAAGATTACAGAACATAAACTGATTTGTAAAGAACAAAAAGAGAACGGTATTTCTCATTTGAAATTCAAGTAGGCGGAACCTTACTTAACATTCTTGTATATTGTAATCGTGTGTATGTTTCAGAAGCTTATATTATTCAATTGTTTTTAATGGAAATGTCTAGAATGAACAAATCACAGAAAATATATTAATGAAATCTGTTCCTAATTGTTCTGTATAATTCAATCACAACTAATCAAATTCTATGTATATAAAATAAACTCATAAAGATATTGGAAATGTTGCCAAAATCCGTTGCAGTATTATCGTGTAAACCTATAAGCCGCCGCGCAGTTTTAGGTGAAGCTAAATCAATATTAATTCTTCAGTACGTAAATGTTAAACTTAAGTGTTTTTTCGTATTGGTAATATTAAAATTGCGTTGCAATTCAATTGCTTCTCGACATTATACGATTCAATTATTGCGTAACAGATTTAAAACGGTATGAATTATTGATTACGAGGTTCGGCTCACGGAAGATGCGGTCGTAATTAGATTCCAGCGGAAAATAACTAAATGCTTTCCCAATTCGAAAGCACATAAAACCGATAATTATCTTATTGCGATTCGAGACGCATTAAGAAGTTTGCCAATTTGAAGATCGCTTTTAATTAGATTTGTACGGCAACAATACAAGACAACAAAAAAAAAATAATAACAACTCTCGCTTTCCCAATTGAAATTTAAGCAGCATGAAAATTGCACAACGCTCGTTATATAATTTACGTTTCAGATGCGTATATTGTTACGTGCGTCCGAACCCGATCGTTGTATTAGTTACAAGGTTAGAAATAAATAGTATTATTATTTTTCGTGTGTGGCGGTAATTAAAAAAAAATTGTATGGTTAACCACGTTTCAAAAGTAAGTTTGAAACTGCGGAGAGAAAGAGAGAGAGATCATAAACGGTTTTGAATATAATTTGTGCCAACAAAAACAACGCACTTTCTCAATTGGAATTTAAGTGGGCATAACGCTCGTAAAATATGTGCTGCTTCTGAAGCGCGTTTGTACTGCGATGTGATGTGATGTGTTATGAATGCTTTAGAATAGATTTTGATTTTAACGGTGTACGGTGCTGTGTATATCGCTTTGTAGTTGCCCCCGAATCGGTATTAAGGACGCGAATACTACGTAAGTTTCGCTAATAATAGTATATAGTTTATTTTCGGAACGTCGTGTATAGTTTTATGTGCTTCATCTTTACGTGGATCGGTTTGTCCGACCACGTGCTTCGTTCCGTATGTATCTGTTTCATGTCAAGGACTACTTAGTAGACTCGCAAATGGCAGAAGGGTACGTTGCTGGTCACTTATCTGAGCATCGAAACCTTATCATGTTTAAGCTTTCGGTTGTAGCTGTTGTATACAGTGGTAATGATAACCAGTTTATGATTTGCTTAGGAGAGTCGACAGAAAGGGATTAAGCGATTTCGGTGTGCTGAATAAAAAGGGGGGCCTTGGGGGTCCTCGGCTAATGCGTTATTTATGGGCCCGAGGGGGTGGCAATAAAATGGGCGGTTTGCGGTCAGAGATTAACAGCGGCGGCCAAATTGGATTACAACGTATTTAAGAATGGCAAGGAAGAAAGAAAAAAAAGCCTAGCAAAAAGGGAATAACGAAATGAGCGAACCAGATAAGTGGTTACATGTGTAGTCGCATTATGATCAAGTGACTCACGTTAAACAATTTAATTCGCTGTTGCTACTGTTTGATGATAATAATATGCGTGCTATTTTCGTGCTTGAAGTGAGTCGCTTCGTTACAGAATTCAAATGGCCTGACCCTTCTTGGACGCAGCTTACCTTTATTGATCGCAAGACACGTTTATAATGCGCGGAGAGGGGATGGGGTTGTGGTCAATGGAGTCTTTGTGCTTGTGCTGTTTTTGAAATTGTAGCAGAGTCTAAATACAAATTTGCACTTCTAATGGGTTCTGATTGAGGAAACGACGAAACTGATATCATTCTATTTTTATATTTAAGCTATTTACGGTTTTACGCGCGCGATAAGATATGTTCTTAGTCCCTGATCTACATTATTCACTTATATAAATAAGTTTACTTTGCGTCGTATTGCTATGAAAGCGTTGATCGTGATTATTTTCAATAAATTTTATTGTAATTACAAAGGGTAAGGATTTTTCATATCATAAACATGTTTGTTAATTAATTATTTTATTGAATCATGCCGTTGTTATTTTAACGATAAATAGACTAAAATTAATTGAAAACATGCTCTGTCAATAGTAATTATATGATTAGTTATTAACCATTGTTTTACATTAAATTAAATGTAATTACAATAAATTATATCTGAATCATATTTAGTTAATAATAATTCTGTATTCGTATTACGAATTATTGCAGATTACATTTCACAAACATGTTTATTACTTCAATTATTATTGTATACATAAATAATTTTAACAATCATTATTATAATATCAAATACTAATAATAAATGATTGTAATTGAAAACATGTTGAATTAACTATGTATGTTTATCAAACGAAATAATTAGTTGTTAAGCGAAAGTCAAATTGTATCTGTATCATATTTTAGATACACGTCGCATCCTCGAGGCATTAGTTACTTCTCTTTCTCTCTCTGTCTCTCTCTCTCTCTTACTCTTTCAGTGAGCAAGTTTACAATGGTGCGAATCAAAGAGGCTTTGAGGAAGGAGAAGAAAAGAAGCCGGCTGCAGAGCGAGAGAGATCCGAAGATATCTTCTGGTCTAACAATAGAATAACGAGTCTGTATTCTCTGTCTTCTGTCGGCTATAAATTACATCATTGTAAACTGAAGTTTTCACTAGTTAGCTTCGACAGTTGAACCGCAACTCTCGAACTGTCAAAGAATTTCTGTGGAAGCGATAGCCTCTTTGCTTTCCGCTCTCTGAAATCGTGATGCGCATTCCGAGAATTTTTCGAACATTCGCCCACTCTGAACATATGCATACTACCACACCACTAACTATATGAGTGTGTGAGTGTATATATATATATATATTCACACGAGCAATGTTATGCAAGAGAGTGTGCGGCGTCGGTTACGTAAGCGGAATGTATTTTTGATTTATTGGACGCGTTTTTATTTGTTTTCGCGACAGGTGTCTGCTATAATTGCCGACAATTCATAGCCTATTATGATGATGATTATTATTATTGTTCCGAAACAACTTTGCTGTTGTTGTTGGTGGAGTTGTTGCGCAACGCGGATGGAGAGACCGGCAACAATCGGTTTGCAGGAAAACGACTTACTTTCGTATTTCGCGATTAAATTAGTTTTAACGAGGATTTCGTGCGCATTAAACGCTCTATAAATATTGCGTACATAATCAGCGTTAATTATATCCAGGCGGAATTTCATTTGATAATAATTACGTTCGCTGTAGCAATTAATTTCCTTTCAGTTTCAGCGCAATACGTGCGTGTTGTTTTTCTTGTTTTTGTTGTCGTTGTCGTTTTTTGTGTGTGTGTGTGTGTTATTTGCTCGTTCGTTGTTGTATGTGGCACTTAATTAATCTATTTTATATGTAGTTTATTTTATATGCTTTATATAAATGAAATTGCCGTGCAATTATTAAGGATTATTAACTTGTCTTTTATCGAGCAGATGGTTTGCGAAACGATAATTGTATTTCTTCTTTTTCTTCATCATCATCCTCGCATTATGTTATATTGGTATATTTAGTTGTTGTCGTCCAGTTCCCCTTGCTCATTGGTGGTAGGTAGCGTTGTTATTAACGTCGAGCGGCACGCAACTTTCTAAATCTGAAGCGTCCGAACCACACTTCCTGGTGGCTTTTGCTTCGATTTTATTATTCGAAAACAATGCCTCCTCGGTCGGGCACAATTATTGTTATTGTAAGAGAGTTACGCCTCATTAAGTTTCGAAGTAAACTCTCCGAGGCGCGAGAGATTTATGCGGCTTACCAGGAATTCAATTTCAATTTAACGAACTATAATCCTATAATCGGATTAAAATATAATCAATAGATCGCATCGAAATTATCGGGTATTGTGTGTGTATGTGTATGTACAAATCATTAATTTCACAAGAGATGTTTAACATTTGCCGCAACGCAACGTTTTCTATTATTTACGAAAGTTGGTTTCGGAACGAAAGAAAAATCGTTTCATTATTTCATAGGTTTTTGACCCTCGAGAGGGCAGAGCTCTTGCAGCCACTCTTCACGTCTCCGAAAGCAAACGTTTTTCCTTTGACCGTAAGCCACTTTATATTTTTCCTTCGGATCGTCCCCCTTAATGCCCCCTAGACTTTTGTTTCTTTCGCCACTTTCTACCGGATTCCGTGCACGATTTATTCCAAAATTAGCTTATATTTTTCTCTCTTTCCACGTTTTCTATAAGGAAACATATTTATGTTTTATGGCTACGTATGTGAAACTAAAAAGCGGTCGTTTGTGATTTCGAAACCAGTTAGACGTCTTTGAATCACTGCCATTACGCCTAATTCGTAGCAGTTGCACCATTTTAATATCTCTATCTCTCCGCTCGATGCGTGTCTGCTGCCTCCTATACATACAAACAAGTTATTTTATACTCAATTAGTTGTTTTTTTTTTATATTATTATTTATTTCATCTTCATCTCTCGAAACGTCTGAAATGATCAATTGTCTTTAGCTGCGTTTAATCATCTTCTCTTTGGTCACCTGTCACAACTCTTTTTATATATACTTTTTTTTTGTAAACTCTAAATGCCTTTGCGTCATTTCTGCGCGAAGCTGATTTAATGAGTGCTTCGTATTTTATTCAAGAGCAGTGTAAAGGTCTGAGGTCAAATTGCGATTCCGAAAAGAAGGGAGACGACTATGTCGTAAGGAAGGCCTGGCATTTGTGGTCTGGGTCGCTTATGGTTCGGTCGGCCCATAAATTATTCCTTCGCAAAGTGTCATCGCCTGTGCCCTGTGTGTAGTGTGCATGTATCTCTCCTTCTCGTTGTCTATCTGTCTGCTTGCCTTCCTTCCCAATTTCGTTTCATTCCGTTCTCCCCGTTGCTTGAAAAATAAATGATCCGCTGTTAGGACGTGTTAAGAGCGATGGCTTTTTAAACATTACACTTTCTCCCGTCGTGTGGTCGTATAATCATCATCATCAACAGAGGAAGAGGAATATAATTAATCGGTTTCGCTGTCAACACGTTCTGATGATTCTCATCTAACTCAAAGAGGTGTGACCTTTTCTTCACATGACTAAAATAAACTTTGAATGACAATTCCCAAGTGATTTTTTTTTACATGTTCTCGGCTTCTGTTTTCAATGAAACAAATATTTATGTGTATAATAATATTAAAGTTTTGCATAAAACTTATAACATTAGAGTAATTGTATGTTTTTGTGTTGCAGAAGTTTTGGTGTTTGAACAGTGGCTCGGAAAGTGGGCCGATGATATGCAGGCATTATGGCGGGGAAGCCTGAATTATCGGCAGCCCCCGGAATCCAGAATGTCGTAGTGTACGTGTCTAATGATAACATCGCGCAAGCTTACACAGTCAACCAGCAGAATGTCGGGCCCAGCGTGCACCAGCACCAACAGCAGCCGCAACCTCAACACCATCACCATAACAACGGAGGCTACCAGAGCCATACAGTGGCCCCCCTGGTGCCGACGAAGGGTTTCCCACCGGAGAAGCTGTCCCACAGTAACGGACAGCAGCAGCAGCAACACGCAGTGGCCGTGGAGGCGAACAGTTTCAGCAACCAGGCGGGTTACTTTACTACCAATCAAGCTGTGATAAGTCAGAACGGGTTCGCGTCCCAGCCCGTTGTGAGTAATATAAGTTATAGCAAAGGGCTACCGCCGGATGGCCACCATCACCATAGCCACAACCACAACAACCACCACGCGAAGAACAACAACAACGCGTACCATCACCATCATCTGCCCATTAATAACGCCGATATTTTGGTGCAGTCGGACCGGCGGACAGATGTTGTAAATAGTAAAGAGTGCAGTAGTGAGTACGAGTCCGGCTACGTAGTGATGGGTGGTGAAGGCGCCTCCTCAGTGCGTTGCGATTCCGTTCGTTCCGAGGCCGCCGAGTCCAGCTGTAGCAGTCTCAGTTCTGCCGACGAGGGAATGCTGGTTGTCCAACAGCAGCAGCAGCAGCAACAGCAACAACAGCCTGACATGGTGGTCTACGATAATAATAGTACTAGTGTGAATGTGCGACATGGTGTTGTTGTGGCTGTGGCCGGTGGTGGTTCGCATCCCAGTGCCAGTGGTGCTACTGCCCATCTAGGATCCGCCGTCTCCGCAGTCCCTCTTCAGCAGACGGTGGCTGCGGCCGTGCCCCACGGCTGGAAGAGACTCTCCACCAACGGCGGGATCATCTACATCAGGTGAGTCACGAGCATCCGTCCTTCTTTCCATTCTCATCCCGAAGAACAGAGCAGAACGTACGAAACGAGAAAAGCAAAATAAAAGAAAAGATCATTCAAACTTCGGATGCAGGATTTACGACCGACCTCGCGAACAATGCCAGGAAAGCGCAGCTGGAACTTCTATTTTTAACCCGGATGTGCACAATGCCCAGAGTAATCTCCGGGAAACTACAAAAAATAATACATAAAAAAAAAGAAGAAATCATTGCGCGCATAATGCCGAACAACAATAGAATTTAAGGTAAAACGTGCTAAAGGTGGCAGCAGCAGCTCGCCAAGGATACATTTGCAATTTGCCTCGGCTAATAACCGCGGCGGCATGTTGTTGAAATCCGTTGCGCAACAAACAAATATGGATGGAAACGTTTCAATTAGTCGCTGGAAAATGCTAACTATCCATCGCCGAAGGTTACGACCCATATTTCGTCCTCCCTCCCGAATCGATAACATCCTCATTTACAATTCCGCAACGCTATTAAATTATATGTGGTTTCTTGTGTTGTTTTGATGTTCTCGGACGGATGATGAATCGCTCTGTTTTGTAGTCGTTCATGATGCGACATGCAAAGGAATTAAGCCATGAATAATAAAAGCAAATCGAGAAATGGAGATTAAAAAAGGAGCGCACACGAAACAATTACTACCTTATTTAATTTTCGGATTCCGCAATTAATTTGCGAACGCTTTTAATTGGCAATAAAACGCCAACTGTGACCCAGTTTTCCCAATCAATCCGATTAAGTGAATCGAATTAGATGGGATACCTAAGAAGATACACGCCGTAATTAAATTACTACAATTTTAAAAAACGATACGACATGATTTCTATTTATTCTACCTGAAAAGTTATGTCAGAGACCCTCAGGCAATGTTCAGGTATTTATTACGCATAAAGAAATAAAACCTTGCTTCGACTATCTATTACAACAACAGTAAAACAAAAACTGTACAAGTTTCATCAATCGCTCGCCAACATCATTTGCTGCTTTTGATTTAGATCAGGCAAATTATTCATTTAGACAATATGACTAGAATTGATTCCTCAAGTTATTCATTATGTAAATAATATAATTGACATGTTTGCTGAATATTAATTGTCGATTATTTATAGATTTCGTGTTTTGTATATTTTGAAAACACGACACGAACAAGGTTAAATTTCGCCTGTGAGATAGTTAAATGACTCGAAAAACCGGTCTGCTTTTAAGGACTACTACATTTAATAATAAGGGCGTTGGGATGGTTAACTGGTCACGATTAACCAGTTTATAAGGACTACTACTATGTTACAATAAGCTTGTTTTATTGTTACCGGTAGCTTTTTTTGGTCGTGTGAAGGGTGTTGATGTATATTGAAGCGAATGTACTATAGTTTTAATCCATCGTGTACTTGTAAATTGATATTCATTACAATTTTATTCATCGTGTATTATGTAATTGCAATATTTTCTATTATTTCATTGTACATTAATCTTTATATTTTACTGAGAATGAAACTGCTCGAGCAAATGTAAATATCTGTAGATGGGTTAGAATAAGAAGCATAAATCATCGTGGGATCAAATAAGATCTGTAAACATCAGTCTGCACATCCATTGTTCTCCAAGGTTTTCATTTGATGTGTAATTGCCTGGGATTATTATATTTTAAATACACAGTCGTACGTCTCGTCCGCTAATTGCATAAGGCTTCACTTATAAAGTTTCTATCTTATTTTTGAGAAGCTAGAGCCAATTTGGAGGAGTTCCGTGCGTTCTAATTTAATTTGACTAAAATTCCGGCGGTGGCTAAGTGCGCGGTGCACGGCGGAAAGTTTTAATAGTTTTCGTGACAATTAAACTTAAACCCTCCCCGCATCCGTAAATACGGAAATCGGAATTGCTCGGAAACCTAATTATAGTTTTATATACGCGATTGTTCTTCGATGACCGTTCCTAATTGGACCGACCAGTTTCCTTCTCCCTCTGACGAATGGCTTCGACTATGTTTAGAACTGAAGAGGTGCGGCGCATGCACCAGGCTTTTACTGGTTGTATCGGCGATGCAATTAGCTCCGAAGATTCGGCGCCGCATTCGGGGAACAAATGATGTCTTCTTGTGTTCTCGTTTTTTGCAATTAAAACAAATTCTGTTTTAGCGCTCCCAAAGACACATCCATCATCATTATAAACGGGCGTGCGAGAGAAGATAAAGTGCGCCGATAAAAGCGAGCACACCGAGGGGGAGCAATTGCAGACATGTACTTTATTTTCCTCCTCGAAGGGTGAGGGGCGCGAAATAAAAACGCGAAACCGATCCGTATCTCTCCACGCATATAGCCAGGACCTCTGCTATCTGCATTTATATACTCGTGTTGCGGTCGTAGTCGTCATCCTTTTATTTTTAATCCGACTCCCATTATATTTTTTTTTCTTCGAAATTTACGATTGTTTGCATCTGATTGCGAAAATGCAGTGACCGGCCGTTGCGTAATGAGCGAGGACACGCGTCCTCCTTCTTTTCTTTTTTTTTTGCGTGCGGCTTTAATGCGAGTTGCGTGCGTCCACGTAGAATGCGTGCGAGGTGCCAAACACTTGTCACGAAATGCCCTGTTGTTGTTGTTTTTTTTTTACTTACTTTTCCTTATTCATTAGCCGACCCACCCCTCCCGTGTAACTTGGATTTATTTGATGAATCTAGTCGCGCTGCTTTTTCCCTCCGCGCGCGCGCTTTTTTTCTCTCTTCCGTTTCCACCGCCTCCCCCGATCCGAGTTCGTTAACCCGCCGTGAAGTTTCCGCCCTTGGCGCGGGGGTGTGTAAATCAATAAAGAGACGGCATTCTAATTGATCCGCAGGTTTTGACACTTCCTGCGTGATGATGCAGGCGGGCTTTATATACATCCTGCGAAATTCCGATACCGCCCTTGGCCTTTGCCCGATTCCAACATCCTTATTAATATTAATACACTAGCAACAACAATAATAACATTAGCGATCGAAGGGCGGAAATTGTTTTAGGACAATTTGGCTGCACTGAAACGCGTTTAAGGGGAAATTGATGTACTCGGGGCAAATTAGTTCATTGTTAAACCCGGAGCTAATTTGAATATTAATACTGCCAAATTGAACTCGACCGTGTATTTAGAGTACAGCATGTACAGAGTATGCGTCTGTCTGAATGTGCGACTGTACCTACGTATGTATAATAAATTTAATGGTGTTTGGGGAATTTCATTAAAAACTTCCACGGGCAATTACTTTCGCCAATTATCCGCGCTTCTTAATTAATAGCGCAAATTCCTGCTCGAGAGAATCGAAGTATGCAAAAGTGAGAAAAAAAAAATGAAGAAGAAGAAGGATAATTGTGTGTGTGTGTGTACTAACCATCAAAGGATGGAACGGTGACACAGAGCTACTACGTAAAGATATTCCAGCCAGTCGATTCCTAACTCAATCACGTACCAGTCGTAGCCGACAAGCTGCAATTACATATAAAATACTTTTATTAGATGGGGGATAATAAACTGCAATCTTTAGAGCTCATTTCGGTTTCTTCGCTCCATTGTATACGATGTTTCGTATAATTAAGCAGAGGGGACGATCCCATTTTATAATAGAATCTGTGCTTGAATGAAAACGAAACTATATTATTTTTTAATTGCCTATTCAATTTAGAAAAGTCGCAAAATGCACACAATTGTATCCTAATTATCCAAAAAGTTGTTTGTAAATATCAATAATTTTGATAATAGTTGAGTCATGGAATTTCCCTGTTGTCGCGTCGTAATCAACGAAGTGAACGTCCTACTAAATTACGGTGAAATTTGCTTAAATCAATTAGAAGTTGTATTTGAAACTGCGGCTTGTTCACGCAAAGTACGAAAGTTCTTGTTGGTTGACTTAGTTTTTGCTCTTGTTTTGGCGGTTGTTGTTTCTTCTCTCGGCGCGTACGGTGTTTATGCATCGAGCAGACTCCATGCTTCGAAACATTACGTTTAATTTAAAAGGCACTCTATATGGAGAATTTTAATTAATAGAATGAATTTCCTGTGTAAAGTGGCCGTCGCGCGGCGTCGTAAACAATTTGAAAACAAAAAGCCCCCGGGACGACGGTGCAAACAAACAAGCGAGCAGTAAAAAAAGGAGGAATCGAAGAAGCAAGCAAATAAAGAAACAAACGAGAGGACGACGGCGAAGAAGAAGTGCTGTTTTGCCGATGCTCGCGGAGACAGAGGGAGAAGAGAGCCAATCAATTAATTAATTAATTATGTTGCTCTCGGACGCCATTTCGATGCAGACTTCTAGTTTCCTCCGACGTTTCCATCGGGTCTGGCTGGATTCCTTTCTAACTGATGTGTGTATGTGGTGTGTATATATTTTATACACACGCACGCCGAGGAACTCACTTTCTAAACCCGCGCGCGCGACAAAATCCATGTCAATCTTATGGCTTTGTAAACTTTCACCAATAGATTCTGGCCACTTGATTTTCTAATAATCAATATCGGCGATAATCATCTAGTCTTTGTTCGATTCATGCGATAAGAACTTTCCAAATCTTTACACGTTTCTGTATTTGTCTATGTATTTTCAAGTGCAACAATTAATTAAATTACAAGTTTAAACAAATGTAAGAAATAAAAAATATTTATATTGGAGAAATATTAGATGTTGAATTAGGTGAAGAAGAGGAAGGTAAAGGAGACTATTGTATTTAATGCTTGATCATTGTATACAATTACAAATTTAGGTTTGAATTGAATATGTGGTAATTGTATTTATTTATGATCATATTGAATAGAGTATGAAATGCTGTATTTTAAATATGGTCCTCGATAAATAATGGATTGTTTATGGTGCTGAACAGGGCCGCCCACCTTTGTTGAGCAAAAAGCTCGATGCGTCGTGATTGAGGTCGGGGGAGCAGTAAAGGTGTCACAACCACGGCTCGAATGTGTTCATTATCCTCATTGTTGTCGAGCGGAGGGGCCTTAATCGGATTTAGAAAGAAGCGGGTTGGCTGGCATTAAGTTTGTCGCGATTGCCGTTTTCAATTTGTTCAATGCAAATATTGTCTGGATTCTTCTTCTCGGACGTTCTCTTTTCTTCTTTCATGTTTGTTGTCTTCACAGTGGTTGGTCGTCGTCGTTGATGTTGCAGCAGGCAGGCTCTTTCTCTCTGCTCTCTCTAAGTAGATAAACCAGTTTCCCCTCGAAACCCGCTTCTTCAGTTATTAAGCGCAATTTGCAACGGGGGGACAGATGCTTCAATTTTGACATGTGAACTGTTAGATTGGTTCTTCTTGCGATGGCAAATGGCGTGATCGTTTATCGAATGCTCATTCTGCTCCTCTTTTTTCCTCCTTAGTTTCGAGTTCCGAAACCACCGACTACTTCTTCTTCGACTACCACCACCACCTATGCAGTCGGTTGTTCGAGTGTATTTTAATAGAGTGGATGGATGCGAGATAATCGTTTTGTATACTATATGTATTCAGCTGAGGAGAGGGACGAAAAAAGAGAAGATGGAGCAGAGAAGAAGAGAGAATGCATAAAGAGAGGAGCTGTACGTGAGAAGACAAGTTCTCAGCTCTGCACGCCTGGAAAGTCTTCTTTTCCTCGCGCGGTATTTCGTACCGGTCTTGCCTTATTCGGGCACCCCGACATCTCCTATAAATAACGGCCCCGCATTCGACGGGGATTTTATTTCGCGTTATTTTATTCCATACCGATGTTATTAACCATCCCGATTGTCAATTATATTTTCTGCCGAGCGATAAAAACGGAACGCCGCAAATGTCACGTGTCCACATAAATATATTTTTATATATATACATGCACGTTCAAGACTATATACCTATACACATATACATCATATTAATTTCATGGAAACGTTTATTTTCAGGCACCGAAAATGTTTTTTACGCCCGTCACCCGTATTAAGGGCAAATCCCTTTAAGAAAGAAACGTCTTGAATCAATTCG